AATAATATTAGAATATTTAAGTAATTAAAATATTATAGAAAATTCTTCCTTGTCTATCTTTAAGATGAAACAAGGAAAAGGAAATAAGGGTTAGCTATTCAAAGAGTTTTTAAAGAACCTATTTTAAAAGATCTATTACTTTATTAAACGAGTACATTAAAAAAACAAAATTTTCACTCTTTGCTAAATACTTAATTTGCATTGCCTCATTGAATCATTACGGCATTATGAGGTGGGTACTATTATTACCATCCCATTTTTATAAGTGAGCAAAGACTTACGTGGTGCTTAGTAATGTTCCACATTTTGTAAAGATATTAGCTCACTAATTAGAAAACACAGTACTCCCTTTTAAAGCTAAGAGAACTGAGGGAGATTATGCAATGAAAAACCCTGGCAATCTGATGCCACACCTTTCTATGTTATCTCCAGGGTCACTCAGGCACAGAGATTTTAAACTATCTGTGCAAGGTCAAACAGCTACTAGTGGTAAAAAAACAGATTTTGAACTTGGTTACTTTCCAATGCACCAATCTTTAACAAATTGTGGTTATTTTGATCAATAGATCAGCATTATTTAAGTGGCTTGTTAAAAACCTATGCCTTCTCCCTTCCCTCAAAGTCTTTTGAAACAAACCACTGGTGCCAAGATTCTAGAATCTGTGTTTTCAACAACCATTCTAGGAGATTTTGATTCACATTAAAGTCAGAGTCCAACTGCATTACAAGATGCAGAGCAGATTTCCTGTGAAGGTCAAATGAAATATCTAGTATAATTATAAATGATGCCATATATCATCAATCTTAAGGTTAATTTTTTGTTGATTTGCAATTTAACATCTCTGAAATAGGACTTTCTGTTAGAAATGATGGTGTCTTATAATCACAATAAAAATGTTTTTTCTTCCTAGTGGTATGTAAAATAATGTTATTTTAGACTTGATAAAGTATGGAGGTTCATTGCTAATAAAATACAAAAGACATTGTTTATTAAACATTGTTCTTTTCAGTCCTGGGTCACACTATGCAAGGGTGACCATCCACATGCAATGAAAGACAGGGTGATGGAAAGAAGACCGGAAGGCATCCATCATACAAAGATTCATGTATACCATGGTGAGTCACTAACAATTATGGGCTAGAACGGATGAAATGAAAACACTTTGAAAATGATAAATCATTATACCACCACTGTATATTTATGAATGTGGATGTATGGGCTTGAAGTAAGATTATTACAAAAAGTGGACATAATTTGAAAATGCTCATTGCCAAACTGACGCATGTGCAGTAGGCATTATGATTCTCAACTCTAGACTAATCTACATACTGTGAATCCACATAACCAGGAAGGAGAAATTGGACAGAGGAGCCAAGTTGTAACCATAGTCACTGCAAAATAAAAAAGACAAAGCAAGACGAGTGTGTGGTAAAATATTTGCATATATATTTATTGCAGTTCCTTTTCAAATTTACCTCATCAAAATATTTTATTTTCATTTTTTAGATTGTCTCTCTACCAGATGCATTTGGTTATGTCATCTTATTTTTCTCTCCTTTATGTTAATGTGAATGCTCTGATTAGATCCATTTTTCAATGCATTCTCCTGATCTATTCACATTGTACCCCTCTTAAGTGACCTCTTTATATTTCTGTCCTAGAAGCTTTATCATTCTGTTCTTTGAGCCTTCTTGTGTAACTGACAGACTGACATTCCTTTCATTCTGTCTGTATTTTATGTACTGGGTATGTAATCTGGACCTGTCCTCAGGAAAATTGTGAAATGAATATAGTCTTTGAAACCCCCTACCTCTCCTCTTTGCATGCCTCCCCTTGTTGTCCCTCAGCCTCTTCTGGTAGGTCAACGTATTTTCAGCCTATTTGGTTAGATATTTGAAAACTGTGAGCTAATAAGAATGTTCTCTGCAAATTTTAGAGAACTCTAGTATTAACGGACTCTATACTACTTATAGTTTCACTTAACGATGTTTGTGTAGTTGCCATGTACTAACACTGTACCATCTTTTATTTTGGGCCTATTGGCCTGTTGAATTGTGTCAGTTTGGGAAAATAAAACATAGACTTCAAAACAGAAACAATGAAAATAACAAAATTAGTAGTTCTCTCTGTTCAACACAATTTCCAAATTTGAAAATTAATGTTTACCATTTTTTGTTCCATATACAAAAGAATCTAGTTTATTCCACATAAAGTATTCCCAGAACTAAATAAATATATTCCTATTTTAGTAATTTTGTTTTATAATTCAATTATTGTGTAATTCTTAAAAATATTTCCATGTTTAAATATACTTTATTTCAAGTTTAGTGGATAATTGGATCTCAAGCAATATCTTCCACCATAAATTCCAGAAAGCAGCTAAGATTGAATTTAGCTAGAGCTCATGATCTCTGTAATAGAAAATGAAGCATAATGTTCTATAATTAATACATTTTGGTTGAAAGAAGACATGCATGTAGTATTAGTCTCATGTATAACGATGGCATCTGACACAAAACATGCAGAATTCATCTCATTTTCTTCAGTTTAACGACATAGTAATTTTGTTTGCAAAAACATTGACAACATATGCCCTTTTATGAAGAGATATAATCACTTTCTGTTAAACTAAGAAGTGCCAGGAAATTGTGTTGCAAATGCTTATGCTGTTATTTCAGTTGCCTTGACTTCTCATTTTTCTCACATGCAGGAGGCATCTTCTGTCCGTGAAATTTCATTGATTTTATCACTGAAAGGTGACATTGCTGCTTATTTCCTAGGTTCATTGAATAAGTTCTATTTTAAATATAGCTCTAAATCACAGATTAATTCAATAACCATTAATTCAATAACCTCTACAGAACCTAGATAAGTTGAAAGTACTTACTCTTGTTAAAAGACACAGTCTTTGCCCTGGGGTAGGTTACAGTTTCAGTTGGGGAGCAGATATTCAGATAACTAAAGAATACTTTAAAGGAATGTAGGTACTATAGGAAGTCAAAAGATAGATAAGGTCCTTAATTTGACTATTAAACTAAATAGCTATAAAGAATAAACAGTATTTTAATACATAGTTAAGGGTTGGTTTTTAAACACAATTAGTGTGTCTGTTAATAATAATTGTATTCACTTTTCTATAATTTCACAGATATTCTTAGAAATATAATACCAAAGATAGGAAGTTAAGCTATGCAAGCTAATTGTTAGGATTCCATTTATACTTTGGTTCACTCAAATCATTGTCAAGCACTATTATTTTTTTCCCTCAGAAGACCCACATTTAGCCTACAGTGCCCCCCATGAAATATGTGACTGAAACTATCTACTTGGATAACATCCATGCTATAATATTCAATCAATATTTTACATATCATACACAAGCCCAGAGTTACTAAATTGAGCCATAATTCTTAAATCACAATTCATTCAGGAGTATTTTTTAGTGCCTGCTTGTTTAACACAATCTTATAAATGATCTTTCACAAAGTATGTAAAACTCAACACATATCTTTAATGGGCTAATTGTGCTTCATTGCAGTGTTGAGTCTATAAAAGATTTTTAATAGTGAGAGAAATGATGGCATTTTCACCTTAATTTGAAAATATAATTGCCATTCTAAATAGCTTTTTTTCTAACCTAAGTGCTTATTGACAGCAGAAATTTCCCCCAAACACTAATAGAGCATTTAACATAATTGCATTTATTGAAAGAAAATCCAAGGGAAAATAACATACAGCTATCTGAAACTAGCAGAAGTAAAATATCAAAAGAAAAAGTAAGTTAAATCTAAATTTGAGATCTAAAATGTAACTAATATTCAATGTAAATTCAACACAACGCATACTTAATTAAACTTATACATTTAAATATACTGATGAGATTCAAGAAATAAAAGTGATATCCTAGAAATCCAGGATAACAAGAGCCATATGAAAACAAACTGAAACTAACAAGCTAATCCCTAATTCATAGAATTTACCATCATTTGATTGAAAAATAAGAATATTTTTTAGCTCAACCCATGGAAAATTAGAACAATTGAAATTAAATTCAATCACTTGTAAATATTCCCTTGAGAAAACGATTTCTTTTTTTACCCGGAGTTTAACCTCTACCCTACTCAAAATTTTGAATTCCAATTCCTTAATTTCAATATACTTAGTGTGGGTTCAGGATAGTAAAATCACGACTCATATTTTATTAAACTTTATTCTAAAATGGCAATAAAGTGATCCATATGGAAATATGTGGAATAGTTCTCTCTCCCTAACTCTTCAGTTCTGTTTCTAAGCAGACATCCACATATGACGGACTGATTCTGAATGGACAGATTTCCCATTACAATCTCAAGTCTTTGAGTCCTACTTTTGCTATGTAATAACATATATTTATAAATATTATGGATACTCAGCAAAGAGCTTTTTAATACCAGATTTGAAAAAAGTTCTGTCTGTTCGTGGTAGCTTTTCTCCTATGTTGAAGTAAAAAGTGCCAGAGACTGCTTTTAAACAATAAGCGCTAAGAAAACTGATTAAACTGGTTAGACAAAAAAGGAACACTGGAGGAAAGGAAATAGCTTGGGATTGAACCCTATGATTTTATTGTTTTCACAGAAAATGCAATAACTCCTCATTGATACCAACTACGCAGTTGCAAGAAGAGTATAAACCTTCTGCTTTGTTGAGACACAGGTGAGACAATTTGTAAGAAGTAGTCATCAACCAAAAAGGAAATGAGTTTTCAGTAAATTTTTTTCCAGTTTAAATGCTGTTGTGAGGCCCTGATTTTTGAAAGGCACGTTAAAAAAAAAAAAAAGTTTTTTTTGTTTTGTTAAAGAAACTGCATTCAAAAGAATCCTTTGAAAATCACTCTATCAAAATCATATTAGTTGGTCACCATCTTTCAAATCCCTAATCAAAACAAAATAGGTCATGAAAAATATCACAACCAGTTTCATACAGTCTTAAGCATAGAACTTAATTAATTGTTTTCCAATGATGCATTTTGACAGATAAGTTTATTACAAAGTCTTAAAATAAAAATGCATGTTTGGTGAAAAGTTAGTACAGTTGTCATTCATATTTTGCCATATTTTAAAATATAAAAGAGTGGGATTTTATTATTTGTAATATAATGTAACTGACTGACTAGCTGGTTTGTAATTCTGATTATTGTAGTTATCATAATTCATTGCCAAAGTCAATTCTGTGATATATGTAAAATGAAGTCCCATTAGTTTAGCCTATTGTATGACATTGTAGTGCACCATGCATCTTTCAGGTCTCTAAAAGAAAATTTAATGGCAGGCCAAACTTCTAACTTACTAAGTACTATGAATCACACAAAACAAGAAAACATTTCAAACCAGGGATACACAGCATGTTATAATTCATCATGGAACTAACAAAAATAGGTAGCAGGAAAAAAGAAAAACACAGCACGGCTAGGTATGTGTATACTAGAGGTAAGAGAAGACTCAGAATTTTTTAAAGCACAAAATAAAAGTTATGACATTTTTAATGCATAGGCAATGAATAATATAAACCCTACAAATATGACAGGGTATCTTTTTCTCACTTTTGGGTTTGTTGGAAAGGAATAAATATTGGGCATGATTTGGCACTTCTGGAAGATTTAGTGAATTTGGTGAATCTCAACATATCTAAGATGTTATCAGTTTTAATATGCACTTTTATTTTATATATCACTACACAGAAATACTACCAATTGTAACTAAAATAGGCCCAGTTGCAGACATGTTAAATGTGGAGGAACAAGCATTTTTGAACTAAGGAAACAGAGTTAGCTCCTAATTAATCGGATCTATTAATGACCTGGACATTACGTGGTGTAATCTTTCTTCCAGAAAATTAAAAGCTCTATTGCCTGATGCCTTCCTATAAAGTACGACAACAAAATATTGACATAAATTACACTTAAAATATGTTATCAAAAAGGAAAAGGGGAAATATATTGGTGAGTTTAACTCATAATAAATACAAAAAAATATTAGGAAAAGACAGGCAGTTGATAAACAGGTAAGTGGTTTAAAGTCATCATTATTATTACTGATGTTAAACAAGAGATTACTTAATACAATTTACACTTATCCCAACCTTTTAAAATTTCCTGCATTTTTATTCATTTTCTTTCAACTGAACATTTGATGGGGAGTGAAAAACTGATTCGAATTCTAAGTTTGGTGTTTTACAGAAATGATCCAGAACCCACTTGTGATGTATATTCTAATTTATTACCATATCAATAAATCTGATTGTTTTGCAGTTCTTCTGCTTGCCCCTTTGTTCCTGGCACTCATCTGCATTTTCTCAAAAAATTAATCAAAATTAATTTTTGAAGTACCAGCCAGTTCTCATGGACTTCTGCAGCTATGTGAAAGGTTATAAAAAGACTTTAGTATTTTATGAGTACGTTGTAAAAGGACTGAAAACTTGCACTTACAGCAATTTCTTTGTGCAGTTAATAAGGAGAAAAGTAGACTTGATTGTTTTCCTGGAAAGGACACATGTATATCCAAATATTCTGAATATAGATTTTTTTTTTAGTTTTTTTCAAAAGTCTCAAATCAAATTCAAGATAAAGGAAGAAGGCAGCAATGAGCTAAGCCTCTCTTTAGATGTAAAACAATTTTTTAATAATATCAGCAATGGGTGTGCAAAACATCAATTAGAAAGGATGATCCACTAATATGGGATAGTGGAAAGAAGTGGTGAGTTGCCACACAAAATGGAAGTCAAGGTGAGGAGAGTTAGTAAAACATGCCCCAAATATTGTTTACTTTAATCTCTTTGGTTTGATAAAACAGATGGTTGACTGTAATTGTGAAAATTTTCAATATGCCTGATTTGTTCAAGTAAGTTATAAAGCTTCTTAGTTAATTCTGTTTAATTTAAAGGACTTGGCTTTAGCTTGATTCTATCACTACCTAGCTCTGACTGGTCCCCTCTTTCACTATGAAAATACACATTAAATTCCAAGTTCGTATTTTACTTTCATAAGTTTGACTTTTATTTTACATGTATGAAAAATATGGAAGAGTGCATCAAGGGTTCCTATTAAATGCTTTCCTGCCAACATTAAGGTGTCTGAAGCTCTGAAGGTTTACCCCATGGTATCATAACTGATAACTTGTATATATAGCTAGTCTCATTTTGGTGACAAGTAAACATTGCTCAACAAACACACATACCGCTTTGCATACCTTACCTGGAAAGAGGCTTTATTGAACATAGCTGTAAAATTATCTTTTAAGTTGAATTACTGAATTTGCACAAACATTTCTACAGAATTTTTTTCTTTTAAAAACCAAGCTTTATCATTTTTCCACTACATTTTGTTGTGCTTTTTATATTAATATTTGCAAATGGTATAATTTAATACTTATTTCCCAATTACTTGCATAATCAGTTTTTTTTAATCCTGGGGTGTTGAAAGAACATATAATAATAATAATATTCTTCTTTAGACAAAAGTCTTTTTAAATGAAGTTAAAAGCTGAGATAATTTAAGGAAAAAGATCTTCAAATTTTCATACCCAACAGGTTTAAGTGAAATTTACAATGCATTGGAAAACTGGCTGGTTAAAGGTATGATTTGTCCTCAGGTAGCTCAAAATCATTTTTACAGGTTTTTGTTTTTTTGTAAAAGTGTTTTTAATCTCGGTAAAATAATAAAATAATATTTCACAATTTGCACAGAGTCTGACTAAAGGGCAGAGGCATATTACCCTCAGTGTTTAGAATAAAGCCAGATTTTTCAGGCCCAGTTCCGCTGTAGAGTTTGTACGCACTGCAATCACAAACATTTTCTTTGCTCCCTCTAAAGCTAGGGCCAATTTCATTTCAAATGGAGGTTAGAGTAAAAAAATCACTCTTGTGTTTTACCACCTTCTGCGCTAAGCATTATTTTAACAACCTTTTGCTCTGGTTGACCCATTTAATAACCTGGAAGAAAAAAGTGTTGCTCCCATGTCTGGTCTCAATGGAAGTTATTTTCTGATGGACAATTAAGCCGAATGGCCATGGCTGTCTAGGAGGTCCAACAACAAGTGTTTCGTCTGCATGGGCTTACGCAGTAGCTTCGGTCCTTTCTTCTTCAGAAGCGGCTTTTGTTGTCTCGCCTATAATTTGCACGTTTAGGCTCTGTAGTTTGTTTACAAAATAGTTTTACACAAACCACTCTTAGCTGTGCAAGCTTCTGAGTTGAAAATTATTCAGGCTTGTTTCATTGAAGGCACTTGGTTTCCATGGCAATTTATAAAAGATGGTGGTTTGGTTTCTTCATTGGAACAGATGACTTAGTTTGGGTGTTCAAGTGGCCGCGAGCAAACTCCGATAAGCCTGTGTAATATGTAAGCCCAGGTTTACCATCCTGGATAGTAATGCATGCAAAAAGAGACAGCATACAGTTATCTAGCTTAGCCATGGGAGGAAAACAAATAATAACAAGAAAGGTGGGATGGGGACAGGTGGGGAGGAGCATGAATGTTTTAAATAATTCTGAGTTCGGGTTATTTTCAAGGAAGGGTAACAACCAAAGGTAAAAGGGCCTACATTTATTTAATTCTCTATGTAAAACCTTCTTGAAAGGAAAATAAATGCCAGCTTTTCACGTACCCTGTTTACAGTGAGGTTTTTGTTGGCAGGCCATTAGGTTTCCATGGTAACAAGCAAACTATTCATTTGAAACAAAACCAGCCATGACTTTGTGCTTTGACAAGGATTTCTATAGCTTTTTTTTTTTTTTTTTCCAGAGTTCAACCAGATGACCAGATGATGCTGTAATCTTTTTAGCCACAAAAGCACCTGAAGGTCTCTTCTCTACTCAGGTCAAGATTATCTTTTATATGTAGTTTGGAATAAGTTATACTTCCATGATGTCTTTTTTATCCCCAGTGCTTTAAAAAATTCGTTTTTATTATTTTATGTTTGAGTCAGTAGTCAGTGGAGGAATCTTTGGTAGTTTGTTTTTTCAATGTCCATTTACAAAGACTCTTTCTTCATGCCAGTGCCTGGTGAATCTTTTATAGCCTCTGCCAGGATAAGGTCACCTTCGAGGACTTAAGATAGAGATGAGGACGATGACCGGGAAAAGCCATAGATGTACTAAAATTCCAACAGCACCATCAACAGAATCTAAAGACAAGAGAGATAATGCCAAGAAACAAACAAAAATAGAGAATAAATACTCCATGTAGCTATCAATACAACTGTGGTGACCTAATAAGCAATATTAGCATATGGAAAACATTTTTACAAAATACTCTTTTTGGTTTGTTTTATTGATCAGTCTATTTCCAAAACAGGAAAATAAGAAAATAAATTAAATATGTGATTAGAAATTTGATAAAAGAAAAATGTTTGAAGTTGATATGCTATGCTATGAAAATTTGTTCAGAAGATATTTGTGTAAGTGTGTGGTTGGGCTCAACCTCAGCGTTTTGCTAGCCACGTGAAAGCCTGTGCACAGAGAAAATTCTAAGAAATCCTAAGAGGTCAGTTTTCATTCTCCCCCCACCCCGAGCTTCCAGAAATGGTTATGATTAAAGACAGAGAAAAAGTACTTTTTATGAAAACCAGGAAGGGGTTTTTATGGGTAGAAATTTAACTACGGCAAACTGGATTATATGTGCTTAGATCAGCCCAATATCTATAAATTGGGTAAATAATTTTCTGTTTAGTGTGAGTTTTAGAAGCACTATGAAGCACATTCTAACTGAAAAAAAAAATTTCCCAACAATCTGCTGTAAGACTGCTACCATAATTGGAGTTTCGAGTAGAATTCCATGTCCAGGTGACACCTCTCAGAATGTATGCCTTACCTAGGAGGGCTAACATAGGCAAGCCTGGTAATTCATGAACCTAGCTTAAGTTATAACATGGATCTCACCTAGGTGAGACCTGGGTTTTGAAGATAAGGCAAAACCTCAGCTTTTGATATCGTGGTACCATATACTGACTGAGAAGGGCTGGGAACCTGAGCAGTTAGGAAGAAGCTTTGGGCCGCCAAATTGGTGTGTACTAAGAAATTAACGATATTCACCAAATACTACTTGTCAAAATGAGCTTAATAAATGATAGTTAAATGTATACTAGTGTAACAGAATACTTTCTCATACCAAAGAGAATGTTTTTGTTCATTGGGGCTATTTCCTCTGATTTCCAGAGGCTAAATAGAAATACCTCCAGTACAGACAGATTTTATTTAAAACAGACACACATTTCTCTCAATTTAGAAGAGAAGAAAACTGATTATGAAAGTATACTAATATGTAACAATAAAGTCCCTGTGGGTTATCCTTGTCATTTTACTGTGGCAACTGTCACCACTTGTGTTTTCTCCATGAGGGAGTTCTCTTGCTTTCCTCATTTGGAGAGTCTAATTCAATTTCTTGAATTTAATTTGTAATAGGGTTCAGTGATTAAATTATCTAACTGTAAGATTCCTATGTAATATGGTAACTATCTTCAGTTAATATGATGTTACTGTGACTGGCTCATGTTATGAAACGCAAAAGAAATCCCATTCTCCTCCTCTAAGGAGAATGCATGTTTGACAAACCTACTTCATCTGGGCACTGCTACTGGTTTTTTAAAGTGAAATTAGCCAGACGTGGGAAAAAATTTTTACTAAATTTATTACTTGAAATACTAAGTATGATGACAAGAAGGTGAAAACTATGAGCCAAGTGGCTCACTGTTGTATACAATCTTAGTTTTTGTCTCTTTACAATGCTTAACAATGGAGTCAGTTCAGTTCATATGAGCAATCACTGGGTAGTTGCACAAATTTGACTTTCAACATCTAGACTAATGCAATTTCTCAATAACTATATGCAATTAACCAAGACTCCTATTTTCTCTACATGTTACAAAATGGACTTTCATGCTCCTTTTATGTGTACTAAATAATTGATGAGTTATTTGTTTAAATTTAGCTTGATCGATATACCCCTTTATATAATCACGAAATTAAAGATCAGATGACCCTATGAAAATTTTTCAAGTGGAGGAATTTTTAAAAGAAATCGTTTTAGTTTTCTCAGATTCACATGGATAATATGGAGATGAGGATTTTAAGAAGCTGCCTAACACATAATTCTGATGCTATCTGCATTATTTGTAATTTTTAAATTTATATCTTTTATTACACATATTAATAATATTTTACATTATATCTCCTTTATTCAAAAACATATTTGTGGCAAGAAAATAAAATTTGAATATATCATTAAACTAAAATATTCATGTGTGAAAAAATGAAACCAAATTACTAAACAAGATTGTGATGCACATAGGTTACTTATAGCAGGAAAAAATGGGCTGATCTGTTACTTATTGTATACACTTAGGCTCTTCACAGTAGTGAATCTGTTCAAATGTTTGCAAAAGTCAGACTTGGAAAATACATTCATAAACTGGGGCAATAAAAATAGCTATTGCTATGTAAATGTGTGCTGAGTATATAGATTAGCCAATGTTTTAATAAAAGTTCAAGAATCCTCTGAAATTAATAATATGAATTAAATATTTTTAAAAATCTTCATTAAAAATCAAGGTGTGCTTGCCTTACATAGACCTAAATCAAAATTACTTTGATCTTAGGTCTAATATGCCTACCCTCAAATTTAATACTTTGTTTTCAAAATATCTTCACAATTTGAGGGTCTCACATATAAGGAATTTCTAAACTTACAAACTAAAAAATAAATGAGTTTTAAAAATTAGACGATTTTAACAGTTAATATGTTACTTTAACATTACATCAAACCAATCCAAGAATAGACACTTACTCTTCGTCGTTAGGTCTTGTTTTGCACATTCTCCTTCTGCAATTGATACATCATCAATGGCAATGTCACCTTCTATGCCAGGACCTCGAATACCTTCAAAAATGAGCTACAAATATGAATGAAACAAACCTAAATGTAGAGCTTTGGTTTGTAGATGGATTTTTACTGAGAAACCAAGGAGCCAAACCTAAAAATCAACAGTAATTCTGGCATCATTTATTATTCACAGTCTTCAGAGTTGTTGCTTAAAAAAACATGAATGTTCTTAACAAAACCAATCATAGGATCTTCCTTGGCTAATATTAGTTTTCACATCAAAAGCTCTGTGTTGGTTTTAAAACAAAACTACACTTAATTGAATAATACAATAAAAACTACCACTGCTACAAACCCTACCACTGTTCGTTTTCAGGGGAAAAATGTTTATTTGAACAGTACTTCTCTGAGATAGATTCCCTCCAGTTTTCTCTAAACATCTAACACTGGTTTTCTAGAAATATTTTATGGGATAAATCAGTTCACGGTTCTTTACAGCAGTATTTATGTTTATGGAAGCCAAGAACAAGGGTTTACCATCACTATGAAATTGTTTGCTCTCTTGCAAATACAGTGAATAAGTTTCTCACATTCCCCTATGTTATGATATACCTCTATAATTTCACTTTTGACATTCTATTTTTAAACACCTGAAGATATTTATGGGTTTGCTTGAGTGTTTAGTGTCAGACCTTTGAACTTCCAGTATCTACAACAGTGATTGGCACTGAGACTTGATACATGAGAAGTGAAAGTATAGATGAATGAAATCAGTCTCCTTTTATTGCTAAATTCTGAATACAATAACAATATAGGGACAATTAGCAAATTTTTATTATTTCGTTTTTGCAGAAATAAGACTTATAAAATTTTCTCTATAACCCCACAGTCATTCCTTGCTTCTAGCTAAACCTTTTTAATCCTTTTGATACAAAAAGGCAACCTATGCATTTAGTGATTATAATCACAAAAATTTCTACATGCCAAAATGAAGTACCTAGTTTGGTCTTTTCAAAGAAAAATTAGCTTAATAAAGAGCTGTTTCAACATCAAGCTGATGTATGCATTTTAATACAATTTTTAGCCTTATTTCATTGCAACAAATTGAGTGAAAGTCTATTTTTATCAATGTCAAAATTTTTGGTTCTGTTTGTCTTTGAAAGTATCTTAATATGGCTCCTTAAAGGCAAATTTGTGGTGATTTTCAGAATACTTATGCTACCTTTGAAAGATTTATCTATTGTTCTCTGATATACTGTCATAATTTTATTAATTGAAATCTTTTAGTAAGCAGAAGCATTAGTTATCAACTTTTGCATTGAGTTCCTTTTCCCTGCTCATAGTCCATACGAATCCATAGCGTAAGAATAATTTTCAAGATCTGATAGGAGAGAAAAGTTTGAGAAAATTTTATTACTATATTTAATTTGTGTAGAAAGAGTAATAAAGATTTCCCAAAGCCATTTCTTTGAAAAACATCCAAAATGTCATGTTATCACTCAAGCCAGAATAAAATGGCAGACCAGAATTAAAATATAATATAGAACCCAGCTAGCAGTACACGGATTCTCAGTCCTCAGAATAAAAAATGAAATATTACTCTGACTGCCTAGAATAATGACTTGCTTTTGTCTTAAGGTGGTATTTGGAAAGTTATCTGGGAAATAGCTAAAAAAAAACCCAAAACCCTCAGAGGGCTGTTTAAATCACAAGGTCCTACAACCTGAATTAAAAAAAAAAATCAATGGTATAAAAATCCAAGAGCACTGAAATCAGAAAATGGGAAATCATTTTAATGACTGTGGAATTCCCCACCTTATGGGTATCACGTAAGTTATGTAACCAGTGGCCCTATTGATATTGTTAGACATTAAAGTTATTTTCAGCTATTCTGAACAAGGCTGAGGTGAATGCATTTTAAAACATTAATATGCACACCTTTTATAGAGCACATGGCTCTAAGGTCATCCTAAATTGCCCCTATCAGCACTACTGCCTGTTTCCTAATTATGGGTTTTTAGGTCATTGGGTATTTTTCCTTATTTTAAAATGTGCTGCTTACCTGGTAGAGAATCATTGTTAGAGTAAATCAATGGTTATTCCCACCCCCTTCTTAGTTTCAGTCATGTGATGCTGAGTCTTCTCTCCTGAAGATAACAACATGAATGGAGTGTTATCTTGGAGAAAGTTAGAACCCACAGATTCATGCTGCTATGAGTCTTATTCCATAAAATCCAACATGTTCCACTTTGGCCACATGGCTAATAGTTGACTGAATAAAAGTGGAGTACTGTCATCACAATTCTTTCTTTCTTGCAGCTATTATAAAGGATCAAATGGAATAAAGTACAGATTTCTGGCTCTCAGTCAGGTTTTAATTCTGGACTGCAGCAGGAATAAGGATGCATTAATCAGGAAAATTTGCTTTGGTAAAGAGGAAACCTCCTCAGTAACCAATAGTTTTAATTTTAAAAGATGGTGTGGGAAGGGAAAGGAAGCAAACCCAGCTTGTAGAGTTGAGTACAGGCTTTATGCTGTGGCCATGGCAAAGAAGGGGACTGCATTCTCATATGCTTTGTGTGGGAAGTGAAGTGTCCGTGAGAAGGCTGATAGGGTAGGTTAGAATGTTCTGCACCTGCTCGCACTTGAAATTTAAACAGATGAAGGTGAAGTCATAGTCTTTTCATTGGGAAGGATGCTGGAGAAACAGGTTTAGGAATACATAGAAAAACAAATGTTTTTCCATCTTAGTTATGTAGAGGTAAATAGGTAAGACAATCATCCACAATTTTTCTCATTTAAAGTACACAATTATTTTTACTTAGCAAGTTCTAGTCACCCGGAGGTAGGTGTCAATATAAAAAAGATGAGACTATTTAAAAAAAAAAAAGTGAGAACTAAAATGTGTAAATCATCATCTTTTCAAAGCTGCTGGCCCTGGAATGATGCTGCCATTGCTCAAAGCATTTCAAAATGTCTTTTAGGGACCATAAAGTATCAATCACTCCTTATTTTCCCATTAGCTGTCTTTATCCTCCCTTCCTTCTTCTTCCCATTCAGGTTACCTAGGTTCATGCTTAAACATATGGTCAGACCTACGTTTGGGTTAAAGACAGAGCCATGAAGCAGAGAGGTTGTGAAGGATGCTGTCACACTACTTTTGTGATAGGACTGAGAGGAAGCGTTGGGAGAGCCTTTTTCGGTAAGCATCAGAGTAGATTAATGTAATTTAATGTGCGTGTTGCCTCCCTGCAGTGAGTTGACTGTATGTGTATAGTTGGCTGAACAGCAAAAATACAAATCAACACAAGTCAAACTGTCATGTGTCATCAGGACTGCCTATATCTAGCACATTTTCTTATATGAAAACTTCATCCCTTTTTGATCCTGAATGAGTTAAGTGTTATATAAATAAAAGCTGGCAGATTTATAAATTATTACATTTATCTGTACAACTATCAATAATACAGTTTGTCACTGAGTAAAGCAACTTTACTTACTGTGTAAGCGTAACAGGTGTTCTATGTATTGTGTGTGGAAATAAATCAGAAATATAGTAGTAGCATAGATAGTGTAAACAGCAGTAGATGATAAAAATAATTTCTGACAATATCTCTTGGTACAGTTATATAATTAGTGTTTGTAATATTTATTTGTAATCGTGCAATGATAGGGAATCCAATATTCCAGAGAAATACTGTAGTCTTCCTCAGCCTCCTATTTGAACAGGGAGAAAAAGATCCTATGCCATATGTTTGTTTGTTTCCTTTAAATTCCCGTAAGAGTTTTGCTCCTAAGAAGATATAGATTGTTTTTTTTAACTCCTACAGACTCTCACAAGAGATATTTATCGCATTGTTCTTTTTATGTTCTGAACTCCAACTCCAACTACATATTTAATTATTATAACAAAATTTTATGGATTCTAATATACTTGTAAGTGACTTCTAGACTAAGACCTAGAGGGATAACTTTTTCCTTTATATTGTTTTTGATTGTGAAGTAGGTAACAGAAATAAAATGCATACAGATTCAATTCAAACAGTGTACCTTGGCCAAACTTTCAAGTGTTTACAAAAATAAATCCTTGGTGACAAACAGCTTTTTCCCAGGTATAAAAAAGAAGAAACTATAACCATTCCTTATGATGTATCTCAAACTGGAAGCTATAATCTGTATACAATGATAACAATGAATTTTATTCATTTATAAAAGAAATGTTCTCTAGTTTAACAGGTTAAATTTTGTCATATTTTTATGAAGGCCCATCATGATTCTGAATACTATTACATTACAGGGGTAAAATTATGTTCCTTTCCTCTTCAATACTTCTGAAATGCATTTGCTTTAATTGTCACAAAGAAGGAATTAATGACATCTACATACTTAGGGATAAAATGCTAAAGTTTAGGTTTCCTAAAAGAAGGCTCAATTTTTGTAAAACGTGGTCTTTACACACAACATACTGATATTATTTAAATGATTTCCCTTAACTTAAATGACAAGTTTAAAATTTTATATATTTTCACAGTGTGCACATGCAATGCATCAAACCTAATATGTGATAAATACTGCATGATCATAAAATTAACTGTTGGTGGGTATATTCAAGTGGTAAGTTAATAAAATGTATGTTGGCTTCTGTTAATGACACTAAACAAAATTATTTTAATTCACTGATTGACAATTTCTTACATACAGTATAGTGCATTAAAGCTTACCGATACAGATGTCAATAAAGAGACAGAGATATAGATGATGCTATTAAAACTTGTGTTCAAATATAATTTCTTAGTAAGGAAGAAAGAGCTCCATGCAACACTAATGAATAAAAATAGATGGGGGAGTCAAAGGATACAACACACTTTTGATGATTTGACTTCAATATTAATGATGCCTTCTGCAAATGTTCAGAGCATATTCTTCAAGACAAGAAATACATCACTTCTGATTATTACTGCTAAGGCAACCACAAAGTCTAAGAATGCAGTCTGAAAACTGACAGTGTACATCACTTGGAAAAAATTAAGATACAAATAAAGTTTAAAATAGCTTTAACATTGGAAAAAT